TTGTTTAATTAGGAAAAACAAATTTTTCTTGAACATTTTATTCTCATATTTCCTGAATTCATATGTTTAGGTTGGTAACACTACTTGCCAAATATAGAAATCTTCTATTATAAAATCACGAATGACAGTTCGATGGCCATCAGTCAGCCAGTGTTACCAACCTTCGATAAGTAAAAAAGGAGTGTCACAAAGAGCTTCTTTTCGAAACTACTTTTAGTGTCGAAAAGACTTTAATATGACACCAAAATAGAAAAAGTAAATTAAAACCAAAGAAAAAATTATGTACTGTCTTTTGTGCTGGGATTTCAATTTTTGGTATTCAGAACGTGCATTAGGGCCTTGTTGAATCTACTAACACTTTCCTACCCTGACGAGCGAATATCCTAGCAAACAAATTGAAAAATCAATCTAGAGATATTGGCTCAAAATAACAACTATAGCTGAGTAGCCTCCCGAATGGGAGTATTGAATATAGATGGTGTTGATTGATTATAGTGTGTGGAATTAAAATTTTAGCACAAGGACAGGGACGGTACCTAATTTGGAATTTTATTGACTCACAATTATCATTAAGTATGTTTTTTGAGGAATCAAAATCGAGGGTTTCTCTGCCGTGCTCTTCCCCTCGTGAGTTCCAGGTCGAGAACGGTACGGTTTTTTTTTAAATAATAAATAAGACGTTTCACAAATTTTTGTGAAAATTGAGTTTTTCGACAACGTAAGCCTATTTGTTTTTCATTTCTTCAAAAAATTCACCGTTCAATCTTGCTGAACGAACCCGGGTATGTTATACACCACTAACGGCGAACCTTGTGCGTGGGTGCTTCTGTGATTCACCACAAATTCATAACAGGCATCATTACATGTATCATAGAAATTCTTAAGGCTAAGTATTTAACAAAATAAACATGTACAAATGACCAACAACAATTTTTCCTTGTTTTTCATCATAAATTAGGAATATAATAACTGTGTAGATTTGTAAATTTTTTATTTTTTTTATTTTAAAAAGATAATTATTCTGAGTAATAATAAAATTGTGCAAAGCTTGTTTATCTATAGTATAGATCCATTTTTTGTATTCATTTTTAAAAGAATTATAGGCGTTGAGTTGTTTAATCGCCAGAGGCAGATTATTATATAGCTTAGGGCATAGGTATGTGCGACATCTTAAAGATAGAGTTTTTTCTGGTCTAGGAACCACGTATTTGTTTTTTTGACGGGTATTATATTCATGATCCGATATCTGTAATGTTTCTTTATTTTTAAATTGTGAAATTAACAATGACAGGCAGAAAAATTGATTTACACTAAATTTGTTGCATAATTCGTACAGTTTTCCAGTGGGAAATAGTCTAGGTTTTTGATAAATTATTTTCAGGACCCATTTTTGAGTTTTTTCTACCATATCTCTTAAGCACTTTGATGATCCTCCCCAGTTTATCAAACCATACCTAATATGCATCTCTACTAGTGCGTGATCTAGAATTTCAAGTTGACCTGTACTCAGAATTTTGGATAAATACTTAAATTTACTCAATGTAGACCTAATTTTTTTTGTGACGGTATACCGCGTCACATGTCAAATCTCAAATGTCTGTCTAACTAAACGCCCAGGTATTTAGCACTGTTTTTACTTTTTATTGTTAAGGTTTCTGAGCTGTTACGGATTTTGACAGAAAGTGCATCATAGGTGGGGAGGTTATATATTAGTGGAATATGATGTAAAAGCAAGGAAGTTTCTTTTATTTTCATTTACGGTCAAAAGATTACTTTCAAACTATTTAAATATCGTTACCAAGTCTTTTTCTGCGTCGTCCTTGAATTGTTCCCACGTATTTGCTTCATGAAAAATTGCAGTATCATCCGCAAAACAAGTTGAGATTCCTGCTAATGTAAGGGAAAATATTCCATTAATATATATTAAGAAGAGCAGCGGTCCAAGCACTGTACCTTGGGGAACACCGTACTTGATTATTTTTTGTTCATTAAAAGTCTCGTCAATTTTTACTCGTTGTACTCGCTCTGTTGAATAACTTCTAAGAAACTTGTAGAAAATTTCTTGGAATCCGATTCTATCCAATGTTTCCATAAGGCAATCATGATCGACTGTATCGAATGCTTTCGTGAGATCGATTAAATTACAAAGCGACGGTTTTTTTTTGTACTAATCGAATTATTTATACTAGCAACCAATTTCGCTAAAGCATCTTCTGTAGATTTAGGTTTCTGAAATTCGAATCTATTGCCTGATAACAATTTATACTTATTCAAAAAACACACCATTTTCTTCTTTTATAAATTTCTCAAAAACTTTCGCGATGTTTGATATCAGAGAAATGGATCGGTGATTTGTGATTTCGTCTTTGTCTCCGCTTTTGGAGAGTGGTTTGATAGTCGCTTCTTTAAGAATAGTTGGAAAGACACCCTCGCTGGATGATTTTTTTTAAAGAAGTTGCATAAGACAAATGTGTTTGATTTAAACCCATATTATACAATGATGATAACATCAAAATATGAATCTGCCCTTTAGACGAAAAATAACATTAGATTTCACAATAATTTCTCTTTTCTCGCTTTTTCTTAGTTATTTGATGTCTGTCGACAAAATATTCAAGCTGAGTTTTCTCACACAAAAAATCCATTTCTGACGAAATAATCTTGCAAGCTTCACAATTTCCTAAGTTTCATATACCTACCTCACAAATTTTTATATATCAAAGTATTCCGAGCCAAAAACCAATTTAGATAGGGGAAGTAGAAATATATTTTTTGCCATGAATAAATGAAATATTCGAGGACCTAGTTCTAATTTATATATTCAATTATATGAAGCGTGCGGTTAGCGTGGCGCCATTTTCTTGTTCAAACAAAAGGGTCTGGAGGAACTCAACCTCAATTCCCTGTGTCCTAGTCAGAATCCTACTAAACCCGCTAAGTTTATTAATGAAAATCTTGCTGGAGATGCGATAATGGTTTGGTCCGATGCGGCTTCTTATCATCATGGAACAGAAGCACAAAATTAGTTCACACAGCATACATTCAATATTATACAAAACAATAACCCTTAACTTGTCGCAAGCACTCCATGTTTGGAAATTTTTGAGCACTTTTGGGACGACAAGAAGTGTATGATAGAAAATGAACATCCCCCGAAACTAGGCCCTAGAAATTTGAAAACAATTATTAATCCTCGTGGAGGGACCGCTAAATAATGTTAATTAAGGTTTTCAATTATTCTTCTACTTATTTACACCAAAAAAAAAATTATGAAATATTTAAACTTTTAACATGAGAATCATACGTTTGGTAAAGTTAATTATTGTAGCTTCAAAAAACATCATCTCCAAAGCTGTCTTGTCCTTGCGTGCATGATAAGCAGCTCTGCTTCTCTCATACAATAGGTTATTATCCAAGAACACCTCAAAATACGAAAACTTGTAAGATATAGAATTGATGGAACCTAAACATATCAATCGGACAGAGATGATAGCTTGATATGAGCTTTTTTCCTCAACGGACCTGAAAATGAGCCAAAGCACGTGGAAAAATTGCCACAAACTGGATACTAAGGCGAAAAATGAACTTTCTAATGCTGCTATAATTAATATTGCGCTTGGCTAAGAATAAATATTGATGTACTTATTCTATCAATACTGGTTAGTTAGTCACTCACAATGATCCGCGGAAAACCAACAGCATGTTTTTTATAGTTCCTTTTTCTCTGAGAAGAGAAAATACCCACCAAAGAGTGGGGTACCAATAATTATATTATGTGTAGTCTAGTCTTTGTTCTATTAGTTCTGTGGAGCTAGTTTTATATGTTCAACAAAATATTCTCCGGCGTCGAATCTTGATGCCATCCTATGAATAGCTGAATATATATTTTTTTTAAAACAACTCATTTAGTATTCCCTATCAAATTTTGAAAATCGAAAATTAAACTCTTGACCAGTAGTCTTACCGGTTATCTCTCTGTGAAAAAAAATTGAAAAAGTAATTTTATCATAATAAAATGTTTATTTTTTAAATAAGATAAAACATTTTCTGTTCAGTTTATTTTTATTTTACTATCGTATAAGCACTGATATAAAAATTCCTTTCATTGGCAGTATCACTCGGGATTTTACTATTCATAAATGTTTACAACAAATAAATCGCAGAGTATTTGTTTTCATCGGCCCATAAATTATTCTGTTATCAAAATAAACAAAAAAAGTTTCCGTTGTCCGCGAAGCTTCCACGAATGGGTGAAATTTACGGGGGCGCAGCACCGCCCCCAAAGTGAACTAACACACGGATCAGATCGGCAACAGCGCACAGTGAACCAGTTGTATCTACTGACGGGACAAAAATTAAAATTGTTTTGTAAATGAAGTATGTTCTGAAAATGGGCCTGTCAGGCTTGCTTGCCACTATATTTTTGGAGAAACGCCCTTTGGTAGGCTGAAATTGTGGTAGGATACATAAATCCAGAATTCGTGAGCGAAATTAGAATTTGTCGCACTGGTCCAATTAAATAAAAAAGGCCACAAGTCAATGAAAATTATTCTAAGGCTGGAACAGTAATAACGGACTTGGGCCTCCTATTTTCGAAGACATGATTACAACATTTTACCCATTCTTCTGCAGGGAATATTTAATTTTTCAATATAAAAAGGCATTCCAAGACACAAAAGTACACAGTTTCATGTACTTACTGAAATACAACCCGATCGTCGAATACGAAGCAAGAAACGGAAAAAAGTATGCCTACTTGCTTTATGATTTTGGCCATCCATGAGAACCGATATCTTATATACAAATCTTATGACTCTGAGTCATTCTAGAAACAAAACAAAAAACATATTTGCGAATTTGATGTAAATTGTATAAAACATCCTGTATTACGTTATCGAGCATCTACAAGTTGTTTGACGTCCCACGTAATTTCATCACGCCGACGCCTGCCATAACAAAAGAATTTTGTCTTCCTAGTGTCCAAAAGTCCAGTCACTGTATAGCGCTGCTCCTGTATCGTATATAGCAACTCAGTGAAACTGCACGGAGCCGCAGTGCTCAGTCGGCGACGTCGCGACGGTCTGTTGAGCCCCAGCCATGGCCAGGATGGCACGGCCGATGCTTGCGTCGCCTCATCCTCTCCTTTTGGTGCTGGTAATTTTAACAATGGTTGCAGCTATCCCCAACGCCGTTATGGCCATCGATCTCAGCCGCCTTTACGGCCACATCAGTTCTAAACGAGGTAAGTTTCTCAAAACTCATTTACTCTACCCCAATAAATTTTCCTTTCACCTGATGCTTCTCTCTTTTTAATTAAAATATAAACTTGCTTCACAAGTTGAAATTTGGAATGAAATTAAAATAGAATAGACTGTCACAATTTATTTTATAATAAAAAAGGGTTTTATGTATCCGGGTAAGAACAAAGAATAGGTTGTCAAGGTTTTATTACGATGAGGATCCTAACGTTTCTTTTTCATACCAATAAAACTTTATTACAAAAAATTATCTTGTTCGTGCTCATAAGCAGTAATAATTATAAGGTTGTTTCTCGTGAGCACTAACAGCCGATATTAAATAAAGTGCTGGTGGAGAATAACAAACTAAAATGAAACAAGCCCTAATCAAATTATTGTACTCTTTTATTCTGTCATTAACACCCCCAACACTTGTTGGGTGTCTGCATCAACAGTTGTGTCGCAGTACGCGATCGATATCGCTTATAGTATTCGTAATCTTTTCTCGGAATTAATATTTTTCTATGGCTTATGCATCATGCATCTACAGTCCTTATCAAATGAAATATATGGGATTCTTGAACGGAAAATGCTAATTTCATGCTATTGAAATTATTAGGGTAATTTGATTTGACAAATTTAATTTTACCTAAAACTTTTTAGATAAATGTGTACAATATACTAATAAATTATGAAATTATGAGAGCAATTCTTGAAACTGAACTAACTTTATCTAGGTACTTTTTTTGGAGAACTACTGCAATGATGGAAATATGCTTCAATCAGATCTAATGATATCTGATTTGTTTTAGGTCCGAGCCGGTTTGAAGAAAATAACTCATGCTTTTCTTTTAATTTTTATCAAGATTATAAAAATGTTCCCTTGTGGCTAAAAAATAAACAATGCTTTAATTTAGGCACGCCTCCTGAGTTTGCCTATGCTATAAATAATATTGTTCATCGCTGAGAAAAGTGTTAATGTACTTATTCTATCAATACTGGTTGATTAGTCACTCACAAAAACGATCCCCGGAAAACCAAAACTTGGCGTGGGGCCAACAGCATCTATTTTTATAGTTCCTAAAGTCTTGGTTTTTTAGAAATCTCAAGCTTTTACCTAAAAGTGTGAGGTACCAATGTATAGATAGTCTTTTTTCTTTTAGTTCTTCACTATATTAGCATCGTAGTTTGAAATGCGGCACTATCTAGTTTTTTATATTCAACAAAATATTACCGGGTCTTAAGTCTTGATGTTATTCTATGGATAGCTACATTTTTTTTTAAATAAATTATTTAGAATGCGCTGTCTCAAATTTTAAAAATTCAAAATTAAGTGACAAATGTTTGTTTTTTTTAATATTAAAAAAATACGCTTTGTGAAGTCTGTGGTTGTCTTCTGGTAGTCTTCTCGATTATCACCCTGTAAAGAAAATTTGAAAAGGTTAATCTTATCATAATATAAAATTAAATCTTTTCATGATGTGAAAACAAATTTTTAGATAAATGTGTATAACATAACGTTATATTATGAAATTATAAGTGCAATTCTTGAAACTAACTTCAACTACCTACCTACTTTTTTTGTAGAAATTTGAGGAGTTTGACTTCAAATAAAATGTGCTCGCGTACTCGAAATTTTAATATTTTTTAAATAAACTAAATTTTTGGTCACTTTTTCTAAGACTATAACTCAAAATCTAGCAGGCCGATTTTCTTCAAATTTTCAGGAGTGAAAGGTTGCTCTAATAGCTATTTAATTTCCAGTTATTAACAGATTTCCGGCCACCTGCTAAAAGATACAAGGTAAAATATAAGTTTGGGATTTTTTTGCGAAAGTTTGGGTTCACCCCATTCTGCTAATAGGGAGGGTTAGGTAGATTTTTGGTATTCAGTTTAAAAGAGTACCTTAGTACCTCAGGAAATTTTGAGATTTTTTTTAATTTTGCAGCCCGCTACGATTTTATCATGAGTTATGCGATTTAATGTAAAATATAGCTTTTGACGTCATTATTTCTTTTCGAAACAAACACTAGTTATGGCGCATGTGGAAACATACTTTAGAACATATTATACAGGGTCATACTAAAATAAACAGTGTGTCTATTTTTCTAACCAGAGGGATCTCAGTTATTGTCAAAGATACGAGGTCCGCCAGGTCGGTTAAATTAGGGCAAAGTCGCGCAATTTTATGGCCAATAAAATGCCAAAATGGCGGTTTGAAATTTAACAAATCCCGAATAAAAAAAAACCGAAATTTTGTATTTTTTTTTTTCTGAGTTTAGTTGATGTGATATTGATAAACACATGCCAATGTTACCTTAAAATCAAGACTTACCTAAGGTAGGTACTCTTAACAATAAGGTGAACTTGAAATTAATTTATTCAGGTGGCTTGAGATCCACCTTGAATTGAGGAAACTTTGATATAGGGTGAAACTTGTATTAGGGACGACTTAATGTTATTCTGTACTTTAAAGTGATATTGAAACTCCGGCTCTTAGAGTGCTTATAATAAAATTAAAAAAAAAAAAAAAAAAAACAATTGTAAATAGGGATAATTAAAATGAAATAAAAACAAAACACATATTAAATAAAATTTAATAAAAACAAGCATAAATTTAACATGGACTTGACAAAAAGATAAGTACTTGGTAGGCGCACCCTGATTTCTAATCACATCCGTCACTCTTCTCAGCATACTGTCTATTAAATAGGTACCTACCTTATCAAGTTCTGGGGAATAACCCACTCTTACCTTACTGCATTTACCAATTCATTTAAATCTTCAAAACCATTCAACAGTTCAGCCAGTCTTAATTTCATTCTACTCCATACATGCTCAATCGGATTCATGTCAGGCGACTTTGCAGGCCACTCCATTCGTCCAATATTGTTGTTTCTAAGAATTTCGGTAAAAATACTTGTTCGATATGGACGAGCATTATCATCCACAAAGACAAAATCATTACCAAAGTTGTTTCCATAAGGAACAACAATATCTCTTACACACAAATCACGGTACCCTTCTTCATTCATACTTTCTCTCATTAGAATTACCAGTTCAGTCTACCCATTCCGACAAATATTCCCCCGCCCCCCCTCTCCAAACTGTCACGCCACTATCACCAAAAGCCTCAAGCCTCTCTTACTTCCATGCATTCTTCTCTATATCTCTCACCCGTTTCTCTACATACTATTACACGCCCGTCATTCTGATACAACGTGAATCTGCATTCATCCACAAACAAAGATCCCTACCATTCAGCTACTCCCCAGTGTCTATTGTCTATGAATATTAGCCCAGTTTATTCGTGCTCTTCGATGGACTGCTTTTAATAATGGACATGCTGTCTGGCTCTTAAATTTCTCTCATGGAGACGTCTTTGAATTGTTGATTTTGAGGCTTCAATTCCTACCGCGATCCTTATTCGCGAAGAATTGAGAGCTCTGTTTCGTCGCACTGGTAAAAGAATTCTGCTGTCATCCCGAGCTGAAGTAATTCTTGGTTTACCACCTGCAATGTCTATAAGCAGCGGTGCCAGTTTTAAACCCCATTTTATTGGCCATAAATTTGCGCGACTTTGCCCTAATTCAACCGATCTCGTATCTTTTATAATACCCGAGATCCCTTCGGTTAGAAAAATAGACACACTCTATATTTTTGTGTGACCCTGTATAATGTTTTAAAGTGTGTTTCAACATGCGCCATAATTGTAGTATTTGTTTCGAAAAGAAATAATGACGTCAAAAGCTATATTTTACATAAAATCGCATAACTCAAGATAAAATCGTAGTGGGCTGTGATATTCAAAAAATCTCAAAAAAAGGTATTCTTCTAAACCGAATACCAAAAATCTACTTAACCCTCCCTCCACAAGAATGGGGTGAACTCAAACTTTCGCAAAAAAATCGCCAACTTATATTTCACCCTGTATCTTTTAGCAATACGTGAAATTTTTGAGTAGGTACTTTATAGTTAAAATTTCCCATTTGAAAAAGCTATTGCACGACAAGCTACTCTAAACAAGACCTCTAATTTACGCGAAAAATATTTTTCTGGGTTCCTTGGAAGAAATTTTTTTATTCACCTTGCTGTGAAAACCCGTTATAATATCCGACTCATTCATCCGTAATTGTTTCCTCAAACTCGAGATTTTTTCTCGAGGAAAAATTAATTTTAAAGCAGACATTTGAATTAATTACACTTTTACGAGTGCCGGAAAATGCCGCTAGTGCCTCAGAGTTGTGTTTTAAGTATTTTTAGGTTTTGCATAATGAGAATAATTATTTTTCCTGAACTATTTTATTTTTCCATCATATATTGCATAATAAAGATGTTTTTTTTTTTTAATCATTCGGTCTATTTCTTTTTAACCCAAATTAACAAAAAAAATCAATGTCCCATTAATTTTTCCAATGCCAGTTTGATGATAATCGCCGTTTGATTAGTAAGTTTGACATTCGAAAAGTAAATCGTATAAAATAGGCACAAATCTATGAGAATTGCTAATATAATAAATTCAATTTGCAGCATTTGGGGCAAAGCGTACCTATGTTTTTAGGGTGGAAAATAAAACGCAAATGTTCTTTCCCTGTCTTGCATATGCATATCTTCATATATGGCGTAGGTACTTCAAATACCACGTCCGAAGGAAATCAGATTTGGTATTTAAAGTTTGGCCTTGGTGAACTATAGAAAATTCGGTGGAAGAATCAATCGCGACAAAAATTTAAAAGTGATACTTTTCATAATTTATGGCACCTATTGTCGGAAATATCAAAACAATGCATTCTCAGCAATCTTTGCATTTTATCGCGGAATAACAATTTTAATTAATCACGCTTCACGTCACTTGAGGTAATATAACTTGTGGTTCAATAAAGTTATCAATTATTTATTGTTCCAAAGAGTTATTGTATTATACTCGACTCACACGTGTCAAAAGCGTGTGCAGTATATATCAACAAAATATTGCCCTGCAGGTGTGAGTTTTGTATAAAATATT